ATGTTAATTTTTTGGCTTAAATAAACGCTACTGATTAAAAGATGTGAAATATGGATAATCCAAGCCTATTATTTTTTTGTCTAGACGTACAAGTCCTATAGAAATAATTGATTAATTATATGTATCACGTGCATCGCACGGGGTATGCACTAATAAATGACCTTAAAATTGTACACCTCGTGCATCACCCGTGTTCACATTTTGGCCTATTACAAGTCACGTAGTATATATATCCCGTACATTTTTTTTATTCATTATATAATTATAAGAATGGATAAATGACCTTAAAATTGTGCACCCCGTGCATCGCACGGGCTCTATACTAGTATTTATTTAAGAAAATAAAAGGACACATGTCGTAATTTCAAGTGGCATTTATTGTTAGGTATGAACGAGAAATGTACGGAGATAATGAGTGGGGGTGCCTGCTGTGCAATTTTAAACAGCACATGCGGTGCACAAATTATGCATCCTTTTCATCTTTCCTATTTATTTCAGCGTTTTGCTCTATTTTTCTTTTAATCGAGACTGAAGATACAAATTTATGCATCCTTTTCAAGGCCGAATAACAGGCATCAAGGCCTATAGCTTCCGTCCACTGTCGAATAAAAAACCTGGCCAGTCACATCAAGAGAAGGCAACCTGACACGTTGTCGAGCCTCTTAAAGCTACTAAGGAAAGCTTACGTCCCTCATGAAAAGGCAAGCTCGCATTCCTTTGATCCTCGTTTAAACAATGCAATCTTTTGGAGTGCATTGAGCTTTTCCGCCAAGCCCAAATCAATCCCATTGGTCGTCGTGTGTACTTCCATCCTTCTCAACACTTGGGAATTCTTTAAAAAGTACTTCACCATGCTAAACTCGGACTTGCTGCAATTAAATCCATCAATTCTTAACGTTGCTAGACGAGATAACATGCATCTTGGCACTTGTTCGGGCTCCTCCCAGATTCTACGATTTGATCTCTCCTGATAAGAGCAGTCACCATATTAGACTCCAAGCCGAAACAACTACTGATCGAGGGAAATCAATAAGAAGCAGAAGCTAAAGGCTACATTTTTTAGCTCAACTAACCCTAGAGATAACTAGAACTTCAAGATTGTCAGCCATCTCCAAGATTTTTGTGAGAAAACGCCAATCGGAGTCTAACTCAAGCCGGGTACAATTATCAAACTTTGGGATTGATCTTATCCTAGAAGGCAACTGAAAACAACCTGCATCAGTTATTAGTAGAAATGCAGAGCATGAAAAAAAAAATATCACAAAGGTGAGTCAGTTACCGGCGCACCACATGACAGTTTTAGCCTCTTCACTTTGCACAGACGACTGACACAATCCAACAGTGAAAGGCGATAAGGCTTGCCGCCATTACCAAAAGAATGATCAATGTAAATGTCTGCCTCAATTAAGGAAGTCAGTGCACAAGTTGAGACATGTGAGGTCGTGTGAACCCATAGCTGTAGATATTCAAGTGCGGGAGCATCTATCCTCACCTCATGGTTGTAAGAATGTGAAGTCCAAAAAGAGTACTTGAGCTTTTTCATTGTGGGTGAAGTGATATAAAATTTTCCATGCAAACATCCTTCAATGGACAAATCATCAAGCACCGGGCAGTAACAAAGCAATTTATGAAGGGTTTCATCAGCTTCAAATGGAACAAAATTGAGATGGAGCTTCTTGAGGCGAGGGAGAGATATGTCATCACCACTTAAACTTGGCAAGGCACAACATGTGAGCCTCAACTCAACAAGGGTTTTGCACGTGAAGATGGCTCGAGGCAAAGCATGCATAAGACTCTGCATTTCGGAACTGAGGGTGAGACTGAGATTGTTGATATTGCGCCCGGCGAACCACTTCTCGACTTTGTTCTCATTTAAATGAGAACGCCTGCATTTGAGGCAGAAAGTGTTTATGCTATGCAGTCTAGGATTAGACATAACCCTGTTGATGATGTCCCAGGTTCCAGTCTCATTATCATGACTTCTGCCGTCGAAATCAAGATTCGGGAAGTGGGCCCACATAAACCTCCATCTTCTAGCGAGGATGATGGTCGACACGGAGATGTTGATCGGGAGAAACGAGAGAATGTGACTGATGATGTTATCCGGCAAGGCGCTTAGTCTGTCGACCGGTGGCATGCTTCCAGGTTCACAGAGACCTTTTCACAAACACTTGCAGGTCAAGACTTTAAACAAGACCAGTGAGTAAACTAACGGAGTTTGTGTTCACACCGGCCTTTTCACAAACACTTGAAGGTCAATACTTTAAACAAGACCCCTGTGTAACCTAACAGAGTTCGATCAGTGGCAATCGCTAAACAAGCATAAACCCAAATACAGAAACTGATGACAAACGATAAGGGAAAATTTAGTCAAACCACCATTACAGGGAAATCCCTTAAACTTTCCAACCCATCACTTTTTCCTGTGATCCGTGGGAGTTTTGAGTTGTAAAATTCATTAGTAAATAAACCCAGTACGAATTTGAAAGGATAAAGTACAACTATTCAGTTCCTCAAAGTTCAACGAATGCCACCAGGAAATGAGATATGTAAAAGACTACACACACCCGAAACTCCAACGATTTGGAAGACGAAGAGTGAGGAGAATAAGGAAATGAGATATGCCGTCAGCGGCTTGCCCGTCGCACACTAATATTGATGGATTTCAACAAATCACATATTGGTGATAAACGAGTCAAGTTTGAGTTCGAGCTCGAGCACCTTAAACTGCAGGTCAGCTCAACTTGTTTACAAACATAGCTGAAAATTGAGAAGCCACTTAAGCTTATGACTAAGGGTGTATTGATTTGAAATTTCCAAAAACTTTTTTAAGATTTGAATGTATTTAGGAAGTGTATTCATTTGGATTTTTAAATGATACTTCAAAGCTTTTTGAGATTTATTAGAAGAAATTTTATGGAATCTTAAATGTGTGTGAGATTTGATGTACAATTTTTTCTCTTGAGATCACAACAAATCTTAAGAAATCTCAATAAAGTTTTCATAAATCTTAGTCTCACATAAATTAAATACTTCAAGATTTTGAAAAAAGAATAATCTAAAATGATTACCTTGAGACATTTAAAATTAAAACTATTAAAAAGTCTCAATTAAGTACAATAGAGTTTATGAAATCTTAAAAAGTATTTAGAAGTTCTAATTGAGTAACCCTCATAGTTTATACATTTTGAAAAGTTTTTAAAGTCGTCGTATTCCTTTGAGGTTTTAAAAATCTTACAAAATTCAGAGGTACTTTAATTTATTTGAGACTAACATCTTTTTAGAATTGTTTTAGATTTATTGAGATTTGAGAAAAAAAAATCTCACTATCAATCTCATCTCTCGACCTAGGATCTGGATTTCATAAGATTCCGCCTAAATCTAAAAATCTAATCTCAAAATGTCAAATTATGAACAGAGTACACCCTTAAGACTTTTTCCTTATTTCCTTAATCTAGTTTTCATTTAGAACCAAAGTGCTGCTTGGATACAAATCAAACCCATCACTTTTCACCAATCTTTTTTTTTTTAACTCAAAATTTAACTCAACCAAACTATATTCAATATTAAAAATATAATTAAATAATATCAATCAATATACTCTTACACATCGCATCAACATTAATTAATTATTTATCTACTCACATAATTTTAACTAACTTCACTTTAGTCAAATTAAGTTTAATTATTTTATTTTAAATATAATATTAATACAAACTCATATTTAATTTAAACAATTTTTCAATTTAACATTAATTAACCCAAAATCCAATAATTATAAAAAAAAAAAAAAAAAAAAATTGTATCAACTCACCCCAAAATTCCCAAGGTTTCGGTTGTTCAAAATAATTAATTACCAAAAGTGAAAGTTGGAATGACACACTATAAAATGGAAAGGCCATTTGACGCTTTGAGCTACTACGATTTTTTTTCCCAATTTAATTAATCAATTTCATTTAGAATATCTTTATCAATTATGGCGAAATTATATACTACACAGTACATGTCAATATAAAGCTTAAAAACAGCCCTAATTAATTTGTACTACACCATAGAGGCTTAGAGCAAAAAATCGGCCGACGAAGACGAGTGCAGTTTTCCATGGACGAGAGCAAGAAACGCCAGCCGCCGATAGACAGGCTCAGCGCCTTGCCGGACGGCATCATCTGCAACATCCTCTCATTACTCCCAACGATCACCTCCGTCTCGACCAGCGTCCTCGCGAGACGATGGAGGAATCTGTGGGCCCACGTCCCCGTCTTATACTTCGCCGAAATCGACTTCCGCCGCGCGTCGAGCAGATCGGAGGTAGTTAACGATGCGGTAAACGATGTATTATTCGCTCACAAAAGCCCCACCATAGACACATTTCGCATTTACCTCTCAGATATGTGCGATTACGATGATTTCGAGGATTGGATGGTCACCGTCGTCGCCCGCAAGGTCCGCAATCTCGATGTTTTCCTAGAGACGAGTTTGCCCCAATTCATCTTCTCCTGCGAAACCCTAGTCGATTTGGGCCTCGGCTCTTGCGACATCCCGGACTCCGGCGACGTGTCCCTGCCTGCCCTTAGGAAGCTTAAACTCGAATTGGTCTGCTACGAATCGTACAATTCCCTCCCGAACCTGCTTTCCGGGTGTCCGGTTCTTGAGGAGTTGGATATCGATATGGGGTATTCAGAAAATCATTCTACTGATTGTGGTGTAGCTTCACACACTCTTAAGCGTCTCTCAATCAGTTGTGGCGGTACCGAAGACCATGATGTCAGTGAGGATTACATTTTTGAGGCTCACCCATGCGAGTCAATGCTGGACACGCCTGCCCTTAGGTTTCTCCATTTGTATCATGTTTCGCCTCCGGAGGTCACGGCCCGTGCACTGGTTTCATTGACCGAAGCAAAAGTTGATTTTGATTTGGGGCTACAAAGGGGACCTTCTTCAAGGTCTGTGTTGGAGTTTCTGGGTAAGCTTTCCGGCGTCAGGAGTCTGACATTGACAACTGGTTTTATGAATGTGAGTATGATGATTTTGCTGGGTTTTTTTAGACGAAAATATCATCTTATGTTGGTTTTATTACTTTTATATGTGGCATTGAGTGCATTGTTTCTGTTTTTGGCAGATTACCATCTCTGAATTCTCTATTTTGAATGTTAAATTTCCTAATTTGACCAAGCTTGTGCTGGAGGAGGCTCATGGGGGCTTTGTGTCGGTTTTTCTTGAAAATGCTGATAATCTTGAAGTCCTGGCCGTCAGATTGCTTGTAAGTTCCTTTTGGATTTCTTCTTTTTAGTCATTGGTTAATGATTATTGAGGCGACTTTTTTTTTTTTGTGTTTATTTTCTATTTTGAAGTATCAGTTCCAAGAGGATCTGAATTACTGGGTGGAACCGAAACAAGTGCCAATATGCCTAATATCACATCTCAAATATGTTGGAATCTATGGATTTGAAGGTGTGGAACCAGAGCTTAACATGACAAAATATTTGTTGAGGAACTCGAAAGTCTTGAAGAGTTTGGATATACAGCCCCGAAGTGATCAGCCTCGTTTGAAGGGGAAGTTTGAAGAGCTCAACAAGGTACTGCTTGAGCGAGGCGCTGATGCGAGTAAGATTAACCTCCATTGAGATTGTTTGGAGATTCAGTTGGTTGTCGTGTTTTTTCCCTGTTAGCTCGAGTTACTATATTCTACCACATTGCGATCCTTTAAACCTTTTCTTTTTATGCCGTCGATCGTTGGTGTGGCTTAACTGATTTTATAGTTTCCATTTGTTTGTTCCCTATGTTTAGTTTATTATGGATGACCTATTAAAATTTTTCTTTCTTTTTTTTTTTTGATGTTTTTCTTCTTACTGTTTCAACTAGAAAGCTATTTTCTCTTGTCTGCACCTCATTCATCTTGGGCTTTCTACGTGTATAGCTGCTGATTAGTAAAACTCTAGGAGGCTTGTTTCTAAACCTTGGAATATGCTTCTTGAAATGGAATGATCTAAACATTCGTGTATTGGATATGATCTAACCGCTTATGGTTTTATTTAGTTGGTTAAAGTGGGTTACTTTGAATAAAGTTGATTGAGTACATACTTTTCAACTTGCAATTAAATAATAATTAAAATGTAATAATAATTAAAGTTGACGTGGTGTAAAAATAGGAGAGCGTCATTAGATATGAATCCAACCGGTTATGTTGAATTTAGTTGGTTAAAGTGGGCAATATTGAATAAAGTTGATTGAATGGATTCTTTTTGAATTTGTAATTAAATAATGTTTAAAATGTAATAATTAAAGCTGTTGTAAAAATAAGAGACAATTTATTGAAAGTGGTAGATATTTAAAATTATGTGAGTTGGTGAATAATTGTGAATTAAAGTCGGTAGGATGAGTGAAGATGATTGATTGTTATTATTTAATTATACTAGTACAGAGCCCGTGCGATGCACGGGGTGCACAATTTTAAGGTCATTTATCCAGTCTTATAATTATACAAATGAATAAAAAAAAATGTACGGGATATATATAGTACTTGATCTGTAATAGACTAAAATGTGAATAAGGGTGATGCACGGGGTGCACAATTTTAAGTTCATTTATTAGTACAGAGCCCGTGTGATGCACGGGGTGCACAATTTTCTAGTATGTGTAACAAAAATACATACCGTATGCACGGGACGGAAACACTAAATGAGTCATTTCCACAGAGCTTGCCCGTTAAGTAGCTCCTGAACACGGGTGCACAATTTGTAGTACGTACCATAAAATCTGAACAGATTTTCATACAATTAGATAATAAATAAAGCCTTTTTTATTTTAGTAAATATTTTACGTACTTTGTTTTTTTTACTTATCGAATGTTGTAGAATTTTTTTGTTAAACCGATTTATAGAATATAATACAAATACAATTAGATGATTGAACAAAATCAGAACATATTTTCATACAGTTAGATAATAAAAAGAAATTAGATAAGAAAAAAAAAGAATTAGATAAAGAATTTTGAATCTGATTTTTTTTTAGTATAGATAGACTTTACGTACAAATTTTGACTTCACTGATTTTATGGGATTTGTTTTGACAAAATCGATGTTAATATGGAATAAGACAAATAAATAAAGTCTTTTTATTTTAGTAAAGATTTTACGTCTTTTTTTTAACTTGTCAGATGTTATGGGATTTTTTTTCTTAAACTGATTTTATGGGATATAAGACAAATAAATAAAATAATTAAATAAAATTCTGGATAGAAATAACAATGCATTAATTACGTTGACTTTTCAATCTACTAAATTTGATAAATAGGATACCTTATATAATAAGTATAGATATACAAATAAATAACATGCCAAAATTTTAAAGAATAATTAATGTATTTTAATTTATTATCTAGTCATCAGTAAAATCATTTAATGATGTGTCATTATCTCTTAAATGATAAATAAAATATTAATTTAAAAAAATATTTGTTTTTTATATACTCAAATAAAAATTAAAAAATACTATCGACAAATATGAATTATAATATATATCAGTAAAATTATTGCAGAAGTTAATAAAATTATTTAAGGAAAAAATCTTTTTGATCATATTTGAATATGAAATGTATATATCAAGCAATTAATGCATATAATAAAAAATTTCCAAATAAAGTATGCATTAAATGTGAGTTGACTTTTCTTGCTACTATTTTTAGTAAATAGGTTAGCTTTTAATATAAGTATAGATAGATAATATTAATAAAAATTCAGTCTGATTGGATTTTGAATTTTTAAATAAAACAAAAAAACAAAAAAGAAACAAACCCAATTGGTCAAAAGTTAAAATCGATTTTGTCTCGTATCCAAATGTGCCTAGCTTGTAACCCAATCGTCTCAAAACATAGTCCTAATTTGATTCGAAGTTTCATACCCACCGTCGGAGCAGAAAATTGTCCAACGAAAGATGAGTGCACTTTTCCATGGATGCGAGCTAGAAAAACACGCCGACGATCGACAAGTTCAGCTCCTTGTCGTATGACGCCATTTGCAAAATCCTATCCTTCCTCTCGACAATAACCTCCGTCTCGACCAGCGTCCTCGCGAGACAATGGAGAGATTTGTAGGCCCACGTCCCCGTCTTATGCTTCGCTGAAATCGACTTTCGCCGTGCGTCGGACATCTCGAAGGTAGTAGACGAGCTATTATCTGCTCACAAAAGCCCCACCATAGACACCTTTTTGTATTTGGAGCAAGTATATGTGCGCTGACTATGATTTCGAGGAGTGGATAGACATTGTCGTCGCTCGCAAGGTACACAATCTCGATAATCTCCTAGAGATGAAGTTGTCCCAAATCATTTTCTCTTGAGAAATCCTAGTCTATTTGAGCCTCGGTTGCTGTGACATCCCAGACTTCGGTGACGTCTCCCTGCCCACCCTTAAACAACTTAAGCTCGAAAAGGTGAGGTACGACTCCGACAAATCCCTCCCCCACATACTTTCTGGGTGTTCGGCGCTCGAGGAGTTGGAAATCGAGATGGTAAGTGAAGTAAAGCATTCTCCTTATTGTGATGTAGCTTCACTCACTCTGCAGCGTCTCTGCATCAGCTACGAATGCCATGGCATTTTCAATGCTCACCCGTGTAATTTTTACGAAATCTTAATGCTCACCCGTGCAATTTTTACAAAATATTAAAAAGTCTAAAGAAATCCTAAACGAATAACTTCTTATTTTAGATTTTTAAATAAATTTTTCAAAAGTCTCGCAATATTCCTTTGAGATTTTAAAAATCATGTAAAATCCAGAGATATTTTAATTTAATCGCGACTAAGATTGTAGGAGCTTTTTAGATTTGGTGAAATTAGAAAGAAAAAACATATACGAAACTTCCATACGGTCTAATGAAACATAAAGAAAATACTTTTAAGTCAAATTAACTTTAATAATTTTATATTAAGTATAATTTTAAATACACACTCAAAGCCTCACACAAATTTAATTCAAACAACTTTTAAAAATTAACACCGATTAACCCAAATATCCAATAATTAAAAAAAAAAAAAAAAAAAAAAAACTTATATCAAAGCAACCCCGAAAATTCCTTATGGTTCGGTTGTCCTAAATAATTATTACTACCTCTTATTATTTTTAAATGTCATTTTGACATTATCAACTATTAACAAAATAAATGTCGTTTTTGATATTCTGTCAATATTTTTTTATTATTACTATCATCTAACTAATAAATACACTATATCTTTTCATACTCATTCTTCATCTTTTCTCAAAACATTTATCTCTATCCTTATTAATGAGAGTTATTATTAAAAAAAAAAAACTAGTATTCGACCTGTGCATTTGCACAAATATAAATAAAGTATTGTGAGTTATTTGTATGGACAAATACAAATATAAAAACGCTTATGCCTTTAATGATTAATGATTTTCTTTCACCTTTTTGCAGGCCAAATTTACAATTAAAGGAGGTGGAATATTTTTTTTTAAATTACGTGTATTAGATTGGATATAGTGTACATTTTGGTACGTATTTTTTTTTAAATTATTTTTTATTTATTTAGGAATTTCAAATACATTTTTTATTCTCTAAAAAAATTAATTTACATGTAACCACAATAATAACATCTAATCACATTATACGGTCAACACATTATATGGTCAACTGTCAGTAATCAAAAGTTTAAGATAGTTTTTGAAATTTTAAAGTGATTAATGTGTTGATTATTTATTAATTAAATGAAAGGTTAAATAATCAAAAGTAACGGTTTTTGGAGGGAAAATGTTAAAATTGCCACATAGGTATAATTTAATAGGTTTTCTTAAATTAATAGATGATAGGTTTTATTTATTATATTGTAATTTTCATTGTTTTATCTCAAGTTGTATTTTTCCTAGTAAAATCGTGTATAGCCTTTTAGCACTTTCTGTATAGTCTATTTTGGCATAGTATAAATAGGAGGAAACCCTAGTTTCCAAACATTTTTCCATTCTGTATTTTTCACTTTCAGATTCAATAAAAATTTCCTCTCTTTTTCTCTCTTGTTCTTCGACTGTTCATCTTCGATCTTCGATCTAATAACTTGATATGGTATCAATCGCTCAGATTTACGATCCTTGCTTCCGCACAACTATGATATGCAAAGGCTTCATCCACTTCTCTACACTCATTGATGCATCTGCATATAGAAGGTTGGTAGGTAGATTGTTTTATCTAACAATCACCAGACCAGACCTCTCTTACAGTGTTCAGTGTTTAAGCCAACACATGTCTCAGCCTACATAGGAGCACTTGGATGCAGCCCACAAAGTTCTAAGGTATGGCAAAGCTACAGCAGGAAAAGGTATACTTCTTCCCAGAACCTCTCAGATTCATTTAAATGCTTTTAGTGATAGTGATTGGGCAGGATGTCTTGATACTAGAAAAAGCATTACTGGTTATGCCATTTTTTTTTGTGATTCTTTAGTGTCTTGGAAATCTAAGAAGCAGGTCACAGTGAGCAGATCATCTGCTAAAGCAGAGTACAGGGCCCTTGCATCCACTTGTTGTGAGGCCCAATAGTTGTTATATCTCTTAGCTGATTTAAATGTTACTCACTCTGCCCTTGTTTCCATGTTTTCAGATAGTAAATCAGCCAGTTGTATAGCTCATAATCCAGTTTTGCACGAGAGGACAAAACACATTGAATTAGATTGCTACTTGGTCAGAGAAAAAGTAAACAAAGGCATCATTTCACTCAGCCATGTGTCCTCCTCAAATCAATTGGCAGATATCCTTACCAAGCCATTGTCAACCTCTGCTTTTGATCATATCTCTTCCAAGCTGAACATGTACAACATACATGCCCAACTTGCGGGGATAATAGATGATAGGTTTTATTTTATTATTTTGTAATTTTCATTGTTTTATCTCAAGTTGTATTTTTCCTAGTAAAATCGTGTATAGCCTTTTAGCACTTTCTGTATAGACTATTTTGGCATAGTATAAATAGGAGGAAACCCTAGTTTCCAAACATTTTTCCATTCTGTATTTTTCACTTTCAGATTTAATAAAAATTTCCTCTTTTTTTCTCTCTTGTTCTTCGACTGTTCATCTTCGATCTAATAACTTGATATAAATGCTCATGAGCTAGTAATTATATATATATAGATATTCTTAATAATTTTTCAATCTCTTAAAACAATACTTATTATGGATAGGAGAGAGTATTAATTAATTAATAAAAGTGAATGTGAAAGAACAAGTGAATGACTCGCTATAAAATGGAAAGGCCAGTTGAGCTACTACCGAATTTTTCCCTATTTGATTTAATTAATCAGTTTCATTTAGAATATATTTTCAGTTATGGCGGAATTATACATGTGATAAAGTTTAAACCCCCATTAGAGCTTTTTTACGGGAAAAAAAAAAAGATAAGTGGTGGAAAAAAAAAAAGAAAAAAAAAGTGGAAAGAAATGGAAAACCCGTATTTTGTTAATACGGTTTTTTAAAAATTTATCTTGTGTAAAAAAATTGCGAAAATATATTTAGTGAATACATTTTTAATTAAATTATATAGAAATCATATTTTGTAAATACGTGATTTCGGTTGGTTCACTCTCTTTTTTTTTCCACTTATTATTTCTTTTATTAAAAAATATATAAATTACCCCGAGAATATCGGCCGACGAGGACGAGTGCAGTTTTCCATGGATAAGAGCAAAAAAAGCACGCCGCCGATCGACAGGCTCAGCTCCTTGCCAGACGACGTCATCTGCAAAATCCTCTCATTCCTCCCGACGGTCGACTCCATCACGACCAGCGTCCTCGCGAGACGATGGAGGAATCTGTGGGCTCACGTCCCCGTCTTATACTTCCTCGAAATCTACTTAGTTGACGATGCGCTAAACCAGGTATTATCCGCTCACAAAAACCCCACCATAGACACATTTCTTATTCACCTCGCAGATACGTGCAATTACGATTATTCCGACTTCGAGAAATTGATGGACACCGTCGTCGCCCGCAAGGTCCGCAATCTCGATGTTTTACTATATACGAAGTTGCCCCAAATCATCTTCTCCTGCAAAACCCTAGTCGAATTGACTCTCGCTTCGTGCGACATTCCGGATTCTGGAGACGTGTCCCTGCCCGCCCTTAGGAAGCTTACACTCGAAATTGTCAGCTATGAATCGTACAAGGCCCTCCCAAATCTGCTTTCCGGGTGTCCGGTTCTTGAGGAGTTGGAAATCGAGACGGGGTATGATGAAAATCATTCTACTTATTGTGATGTAGCTTCACTCACTCTTAAGCGTCTGTCAATCAGTGGTAACATTACCGAAAATACCAGTATGGAATACTATGACCTTTACGATGCTCTCCTATGCGAGTCAATGCTGGACACTCCTGCCCTTAGGTTTCTCCGATTGTATCGTGTTTCGCCTCCGAAGGTCTCGGCCCGTTCACTGGTTTCATTGACCGAAGCAAAAGTTGATTTTAATTTCGGGATACAAATGCGACCTTCTTCGAGGTCTGTGTTGGAGTTTGTGGGTAAGCTTTGCGGTGTGCGGAGTCTGACACTGTCAACTGGTTTTATGAATGTGAGTATGATAATCTTGCTGGGTTTTATTTAGATGGAAATCCCATCCCATGTTGGTTTTGTATATGGTATTGAGTGAATTGTTTCTGTTTTTGGCAGATCACCGATTCTGAATTCTCTATTTTGAATGTTAAGTTTCCTAATTTGACCAAGCTTGTGTTGAGGGAGGCTCATGAGGGCTTTGTGTCGGTTTTTCTTGAAAAAGCTGATAATCTTGAAGTTCTGGCCATCACATTGCTTGTAAGTTCCTTTTGGATTTCTTCTTTCTAGCCTTTGGTTAATGATTATTGAGGAACATTTTTTTTGTGTTTCTTTATTTTTTGTTTTTTGAAGTATCGGCTCGAAGTGGAGGATCTGAATTACTGGGTGGAACCGAAACATGTGCCGACATGCCTAATATCACATCTTAAATATGTTGCAATGTATGGATTTAAAGGTGTGGAACCTGAGCTTGACATGGCAAAATATTTGTTGAGGAACTCAAAAGTCTTGAAGAGTTTTAAAATAAAGCCCCTAAGCCAGCAGCTGCGTTTGAAGGGAAAGTTTGAAGAGCTCAAAAAGGTACTGCTTGAGCGAGGCTCTGATGCGAGTCGGATTAACTCCCATTGAGATTGTTTGGAGATTCAGTTGATTGTCATGTTTTTTCCCTGTTAGCTCAATTTACTATATTCTACCACATTGTGATCCTTTAAACCTTTTTATGCCGTCGATCATTGGTGTGGCTTAGCTGATTTTATAGTTTCCATTTGTTTGTTCCCTATGTTTTGTTTATTATGGATGACCTATTAACATCTCTCTCTCTCTCTCTCTCTCTCTCTATGTTTTTCTTCTTACTATTTCAACTGGAAAGCTAATTTCTCTTGTCTGCATCGCATCCATCTTGAGCCTTCTACGTAAATAGCGGCTGATTAGTAAAACCCTAGGACACTTGTTTCTAAACCTTGGAATATGCTTCTTGAAATGGAATGACCATGCATTCAACGTATTGCATTTGCATTGCGATATAGTAACTGGCCACGAACCCTAGATATCACAGTTTGAAATCGGTTTCAATCCTCGGTACATCTTCACCTACAAACCCCGAGTCGACCTCGGGCTTTACAATTGTTTGGTGACCTAATTTGCCTGCCATCTGTTGGCTTTGTCTTAACTTGGTTAAATACGAATCAGATGGGTCCTTAGCCCATGTGCTATAGGGATGTAAGTTTCTCGAATAACTGACCTTTCGTAGTGAGTCACATTTTTCCGGTTGTTGTTATGTTACTTCGGCCAAAGTGCAAAGGCTCGTGCTCCAATCAGGAAAGGCCCTGACCTCACCTCAACAAGTTTCTCTACAAGGTGAGGATCATCATCACTAGGTTGCAAATGAGTCGAGTCGAGTTGAGCGTGGCGATGTTGAGCGCAAATCGAACTTTTTTCTTTAGTGCTCGAGTTCAAGCTCGACAAGCCATATGAATTAGTGCTTGACTTGACTCAAGAAAAAAATAAGAATGCTCGAGCTCGACTCGATGTTTGAGATTGTCGTGTACCTGATATAGGGATTAGATTAATATTTACTTAGTGATTTTATATTACCATATGTTATGATAGGTAATGGGTTTGGGCATTAGTTTTATATTAGTAGGTTGGGCTCTTGTAAGGAAATTCTATATGTAGGTGTAATGTGGGAAAAAAAGAAAAACAAGAAAAATATCACAAATCTATATTAGTAGGTTGATATCTCGATGCTCGATATGGCTCGAGTTCGACTCAAAATTTTTACAACTAAATTTCAAATATAAGGGTAATATTTCTAATTTAAATAGACAATTTTGGCCTTGGTACTATAATAATGATAATTAAAGTATGTGGGGTATTTATGTAAAAAAAGTTTGAGCGGCTTGTCGGGTTTACGGGCTTCTTGAAAATTGCTTGAGGCTCGACTCGTTTGCTCGATTGAAATGCTATAGCTCGACCCGATCTTGAATTTAATCAAGCATTGACTCGAGCGCTCATAAGTCGCTCGACTCGTTTGTTGCCTTGCCAATCACTTAGATTTCTCAGGTGGTTAGGTGGAGACATGTGGATGAGACGTGTAATTTTCGGGCCATACTTTAGAATCTTACTATTTTTGAAAAAATTCCAACAAGGATCTCAAAACTAGACGCAACTCGTTGAACGATGTTTCATGGATTTGGATATATTATTGACTAGAGCTGCCAAATGAAATGAGTCGCTCATGAGCTCGGTTCACTCGTTCGATAAATAAATTGAACTCGAGTTCATTTACAACTCGTTTGATAAGGCTTGAAAAGATAACTTTTTATATAACTTTTGTGTACTTCGAATCATTAATATTGATAAATCCCGCACTCGAGCTCGATTATAAGTCGGTAAGTTAATGAGTCCGGCTTGAGCTCGACTCAGCTCGGCTCCTTTACACTCCTACGACCTAGAGTTTGTCTGGCAAGATATCTTTTGAAGATGGATTTCATCCTATCAATTTTTTTCGGATTTTTTTGAAATTTTTTTGACGGTCAAAAGAGCCGTAAAAAGTCGAGAGGGAAAGAGTAAAGAGATAATGTGAAGGGCAAAAACGTAATTGGGGGGGCGGTGAGTAGTAAAAGGGGGCGGTAAATAGTAATGCCCTTTAATTTTAATCATTCTATTTTAAAAATTATTTTAATATACACACTAACAAGTAACCGTATCAACTTTTTCAAATTTAACAAATCCAAACCAAAAACTCAATCAAAACAAAAAAAAAAATTATAAACAAGCATGCTCTGAGTTATTTCACGTTGCTTTGGTCTTCTTCTCTGCCCTGATAATTTCTCTTTCTCATATTTGAAAATTTACTCCGCCGTTTTGCCAATTTTTCGCCGGCTTTTACATTACTTTCTAAGTACATCCGGCGGCGGAATTCAAAAGATTTTTACAATTTCGGCCGTTTTATCTTAAGAGCCTTCGAAAATTTGAAGATGACTACCGATCTTACAATTTTTTTTAATTATTTTATTAACGACAACTTCTTTTTAATTATTTTTTAATAACCCTTTTTTGGGTCTTTATTTTATCTATAAAAAAACGTTGGTCTCGATTTTGTTTTGCATGTTGCACAATTGATTTTTTGGTAAAACTGAGTGTCATTTTTTGTATTTCATTGATAAAGTATGAAATCGAATGATTTGGTATACTATATTGATCTAATATACCCGCTTATGGTAAAAAATGGTATCTCGATTTCTTTTTTTTT